GTTGCTAGAGGAATTAGGCACATCCTGTGTAACTCAACTGGGAGAGGATTCTTGGAAGCTTGTTCCTGGTTTCCCCCAGACCTTGTCCCATGCACCTTTTCCCTTTGCTGATTTTGCTTTGTGAGCTTTCTCTATAATAATTCATAGCATGAGTATGACTATATGCTGAGATCTATAAGTCCTTGTGAATCACTGAACCTAGAAATGGTCTTGGGGACCTCAGACAGGTGATAAGCCAAGATTTCACAGGCAACCATAATCCTTTACCAATCTCTTAAGATTATATAGCTTAAACTAGTGCTGTCCAATAGAAATATAACATCAGTTGCCTATGTAATTTAAAGTTTTCTAGCAGTCACATTTTAAAATGTGAAAAGAAACAAGTGAAATTAATTTCAAGAATATATTTCCAGGGGGTACCTAGGTGACTCAGTCAGTTAAGTGTCTGCCTTCTGCTCAGGTCATGATCCCAGGGTCCTGGGATTGAGCCCCACATTGGGCTCCTTGCTCAGTGGGAAGCCTGTGTTTCCCTCTCCCCCTGCTGCTCCCCCTGCTTGTGCTCTCTTTCTCTCTCTCTGTCAAATAAATAAAATCTTTTAAAAAATGTATTTTTTTTCCAGGGTGCCTGGGTGGCTCATTCGGTTGAGCGTCTGACTCTTGATTTTGGCTTGGGTCATGATCTCAGGGTTGTGGATCAATCCCCACATTGGACTGCGCTCAGCGTGGAGTCTGCTTGTCCCTCTCCCTCTGCTCCTCCCACCACTTGCAGGCTCTCTCTCTCTTTCCCTCTCTCTCTCTTTCTCTCTAGCCCTAAAGTAAATAAATAGTCTTTTTTAAAAAATAATATGTTTTCTTTAACCCAATATATAAAATATGAACATTTCAACATGTAATGATATAAACATTTATTGGGATATTTTACATTCTTTTTTTTCATACTAAGTCTTCAAAAACCAGTGTGTATTTTATACTGGTAGCACATCTCAATTTGGACTAGCCACATTCCAAGTGTTCACTAGCCATACCTGGCTCGTAGCTGCCATGTTGGACAACACAGGCTTAGAGATTAATGGCAAGGGGGGCCATTAATCTCTAAGGGCTCTGGAGACAGAACATCTGGGTCAGAATTCTGGTTCTACCATCTACCAACTGCATGACCTTAAACAAAATTACTTAACCTCTCTATGTATCAGTTTCTTTATCTGCAAAATGGGGATAATAATGTTAGCTACTTCATGAGGTTGCAGGGATTTTTCAAAAAGTTAATAAATCTAAAACAATACCTGGGACATGTAGGATGTTGGGTGAATGCTGGCTGTTACTCTTATTGTCCAACACTTTTGCCCTTGAGATCAACTCGTCCAGCTCCTCATTCCATAGATGAGGAAACTAAGGCCCCGAGTTTGAAAGGCCCTGGTTTCAAAAGTCGAGGCTCTAGCTACATCTCCTCTTGATGGACTCCCTGTCTCCTGGCTGACTCTGAGATTTTGTCGGCCAATTAGTCAGAAAACCAGCAGCAACAGGCCATACCTGGATTCTGCAATCTCTTCTTGATTGCAAAACAGGGCTACTGTTTGAAATTGGCACTGAGGTGATGGGGGCTGGGCCTCCCCTCTCTTGCCCCCATCTTGACCCATCAGTTGGGCTGGCTGACCCCATCGTCAAGTCCAGTGCCTACTCAGCAGTGATAAGGCTGGCTTCCATTGTTCTGGCTTTTTATAGCCCTTCTTGTTTATTAACTCATGTTCTGTCTTCCTCAAAGACACAGAGCATCAGCACTTTTTTTAAAAACCTTCTTTAAGTCATCTGTAGTCCCTACCTACCCACCAAACGGGTAAGTAGTAAGCTCCCTGTGTATGTCTCCAAAAAAAAATGGTGAAGAGGGCACTGGGTGCCCACTTGTCTGGGGCTCTGTAGAGCACATTCTCGGGCTGCAAGCATAACTGGCTTCTGATTCCTCTGCAGCGTCTGTCTCTACCCTTCCTTTCCTGAAACCCAATGCAAATCATTTACTCTCCTGTGATAAGCTCACTTCGCATCACTCACATGTCTCAGATCTTCCTAGCTGCTAGAATCCGACCAATTTTGTGGGCTCAAATTGTTAGCACGTGCTGACCTGAAGCTCTGCTTTTTCTAGATGCTAAATAGTGTTTTGACATTTAATATTTACTGAGCATCTACTATGTATTAAGCCCTGTGCAAAGTTTTGGGAATGAAGCCTTTGTGGACCTTGTGACTTGGTGCAGAAAGTAAACAAGAAATGATGATAAAGGACAACAAAGGGTTGATATAGAAAGTATCAGATATTCTAGGAACAATACTGAAGCAAGGGGACCTTAACAGAAGTGGAGACCTGAAACATGGTGGAAGTGAACCAGTTAGGGAGAGAATGTGGAGTGCTCCAGGCGGAGGGAACAGCCGAGACAAAACCTGGAGGTAAGAGAGAATGGTATGTTGGAAGAACGAGAAAAAGGCCCGGTACAGCTGGGCTAGAGACAATGAGAGGAGTGTGGCTGGACTTTGAGGACATTGTCTAAAGCACTAAGGAATTTGGACTTCAACCTGAGGCCAAGAGGAAACAGCCTGGTGGAGAATAACATCTTTCAAAACATAGGGTTCTGGGAACAAATCAACTAACTGAGCTCAAAAGGTGGGCAGTGAAAAGACTGGGGCATACTATTTCCATGTTTGTCTTCATGTTCTTGGTGCAAAGGCTCAGCCCTCTTGAAAGTAGCGTGTAGGCGGGCTGCAGTCCCCCCCATGCTTCCCTGCCCCCCAGTGGTCCCCCCACCCCGTCCGTGAAGCCAGTGGTCATGAGTTTCTTGCAGACACGCTTTCCTTAGACCCTTCTGGAACTGTAGAGCCGCAGAGACCATCGCCAAGAGACTGCCAAAGACTCCTGATTAACAGTTGGACCAGTTGAGGCCCAGAGAAGGAAAGTAACTTGTGTGTGGCCCCACAATAAGCCTCAGGCTTCTGACTCCCTCTTATTTCCCCCAAAGAAACTGAACACCAGGGCTGGGACTAGGATGAGGCAAGCCAGGCACCTAGGGTGCAAAATTGAAGGAGGCTTTCACTCTCGGGTGCCAGTTGAGCACTTGCAAGACCCTAGGTGCCCACTGGCCTCCTACTCCTGGCTCTGTGGGACACACCTTGAGGACAGAGATTACAACTTCCGGAAAATTCTCTGACATCTCTCATGGTGTTTACATGTTGCCAGGCACATATCTGGAGGGTCACTAGATGCCTACTGAGGATAATAAACAATGGATTTCTGACAAACTGATAGGTGTACAGACATTTGTATCTTTGGGTAAATACGACCTTCAAAAGACAACAGAACAAAGGGAAGACTGCCTGAGCCTGGAGTTAGAGATCTTGATTCTGGTCCCTGCTCTGCCACCGATTTACTGTGGGAACTTGGGCAGATTGTTCTTCGTCTCTAGGCCTCAGGGAAATAAGGCGGCTGAATAACATTTATTGAGCACATGCTCTGTCAGCTGCTGTTCAAATGCTTCTGTGCTTTAACTCAAAGACTTTCTGGACTTCAAGGTTCCCTTCCCTTCAACAGGCTGTGGTTTAAAGTAAGAAAGGCTTTGTGGAGAATGTGGGACTTGAGACAGAACTTCCAAATTCCCACGGGGACAATATCGCCAATCAGAGGAAAGGCATGCTATCTCAAGGCACTTCTCTGCCAGAAGACAGGATCGCCTGCCTCAGAACCACCTTTGGAACATGTCTGAAGGCAAATTCTCAGCCTCTTCCTCCAGAGATTCTAATACAGTGATTCTGGAGTGGGGTCTGGGAATTGACTAGAAGCTTCCCAGGTGACTCTGGTAGTCAGGCAGATTTGGGAAGCACTGATCCCAACACATTCCCCTATCTATGAACAGGATCATACCAAGACAGCCTAGACCTATAGCTGCCTACCTCATCAACGGTATCTCCGAGCAGAGAAATGAATTCTTTGGTTGATTAATGCAACAAATATTTAGCACCTGTGGTTGATTAATGCAAATTCTTTGGTTGATTAATGCAACAAATATTTAGCACCTGTGTTCTAGGCCCTGGGCCAGGTGGTGATTATGGGCCCTACTCTCAAGGAACTTCTGTTCTGTCTCTCACTTCTTTTAGAAGCAAGTTATCTAGCCAGAACCAGAAGGGCATCAGGAGGTCATCAGCTAATCCCATCATTACACAGTTGGGGAAACCAAGGCCCAGAGGGGGAAAGCAACATATTCAAGACTACACAGTGAGCAAATGTATTTTCTGCTCCCAAATCGGCTGAGGTATTCCAGTGTTCTTTCCAGGAGGGGGCTGCATTCAAAATCTGTGCCGTCCACTCTTCGCGGCTTTAAAAAAAAAAAAATTATTTTAGAGAGAGCTCGCACACAGGGGGAGCAGCAGACGGAGAGAGAGTGAGAATCCAAAGCATACTCCTCCCCAAGCACGGAGCCTGATGTGGGGCTTCCTCCCACTACGGTAGATCGGTAGATCGTCACCTGAGCCCAAAACAAGAGTCCCATGCTCAACGACTGAGCCACCCAGGTGCCTCCACTCTTTGCTTCTTGCTAAACCTGCATGGAGCAAATGTTCCTAGCAGTCTCACTTCAGATCTTGCTGTCATTTTTAACCCTCAACATTCCTTTAACTGGAATGGAGGAAGGAGGAAAGAGGGAGCACCACGGGGTGTTTTACAAACCTAGGAGTAAGAAATATTTCCTAGGATTGAGCCTTCCATCAGTTCTTCAGTGATATTTTAAAGCCCTGTCCCCTGGCTGTGCTGGAGAACATTGTGCCTGTCTCCTCTTGCACTTTAGAGCCCAAAGAAGAGGGGGCAGCCTCATGGGTTGACAAGGACCGGCTCCCATTTCTGCCCAGACTTGCTTATGTCACTGTCGCCCGGAGCCCAGGGAGGAGAAGGAGGGTAAGTTGTGCCCGCCCCTGAAATGCCAGCCGCCCTGCGATTGGCTGCAGGGGCTCCGGCCCGGCCGCGGATTGGTCATCGCTGAGGGCTTGAAAGGTGGCTGAGAGCATCGGACACCTCAGACGGCGCTGGCCCGGGATCAGACCGCGTCTCTAGCGAGACGCGCCCTCTGCCCGCCATGGCCCGGCTGTTGCGGGCGTCCTGCCTTCTCTCCCTGCTCCTGGCTGGCTTCGTCCCGCCGGGCCGGGGGCAGGAGAAGTCGAAGGTGAGTGAGCCTCGGGGGTGGGGGCCCGGCGGGACGAATAGAGCCCGTAGGTGTTCATCTGTCGGTGGCGAGGCACCTCTCTTCCCGGACTCCCCTCCAGCAGAGCCAACACCTGGTGCGCTGACCCTTAACTCTGGTTCCCCTCTCCGCCTCCGGGACCCCCACCCTGCGCGCCCGTGTCTTCGCAGTTTCATCAGCGGGAGATCTGGGTGCCCTGGGTGGGCAGAATGAATAGGGAGGAGGGTCACTCTCGCCGAGTTGACCCCGTCTACCCCACGGTTACCTCAGTGTCGCCTTGCTACGTGCGTGCCAAGACTGTCCCTTGCTACTCCCCTCCAGGGGGGCCTGAAGGGGGCGGGGGAACAGAAAAAGGCTAGAGACTCGGCGTCTGGGTTGGCTGCGGAGGTTCCCCGGGGAGACTGACAGGCAAGGAGAAAGGGAAGGAGCTGGGTGGTCCCCGACTGGAAGAATTGCGACGAGGGCTCTTCTAGCCCAGGAATTAACGCAGGTAGATATGCCCACTTGGGTTCCAGGGCGTTGGTAGAAGAGGCAGAGATCTGTGACAAGAAGCACTCTGGATTGGCAGTGCACAACCCCCAGGACCCTGGCTAGACCCTCAATCCTTTCTGGCCTCCGTTTGTCCATCTGTGGGGGGCGGGGTGGAGTGGGGAGGGTGGGGCAGGGGCACAATGAAGCTGATGGTTTCAGAGCGAATGCTTGGAGAAGCTGCAAAATCCACGCGGTGCTCTGCGAAGGTCTGTCTGCGGCAGCCTTACTACCCACCACCCACTGCCCACAGCAGCCTGAGCAAACCTGGTAGTTGGAGAAAGTTGCGGACTGCCAGCTCAATAGGAAAGGCAGAATTTTCCTGAGCCTTCATCTATCCCCAGCAGCATGTGTGACCCTTAGCTATAGTGGGGATGCTGAAGGCAAGAGTGGGGTGACCCAGCATACTTATCTCCTAGGATAGCACCTGTAAAAGTGGGCCCAGCAGACTGCTCTTCTCCCCCAGGGTGGGAGGCAGAAGCCAGGCTTAGGTATAGACCCAAAGAGAAAGATTTGTCTCCACCCTCCCAACACACAGACACACACACACACACACACACACACACACACACACACACCCCACATGCTTGTGTAAGCTCAAGAGAAGCTTTGAGCTTCTGTCTTTCTAAAATCTTCTAGGTCTTTATTTTAAGATCTTAAGAGTCCATAATTCTATTTCCAAGGTTCTATCTACTGTTCAATTAGCCCATTCCACACACAGGGTTCCTTCTGCATGTTTCTATCCCGCCATCCTCTCCTGTCCTCAGCTAAATCCTATTCAGTCTGTTTCTCTTTGGAGTAATCCTAGAAACTGGATGGCTATGAAGGCATTTCGCCCCCCCCCTTCCCCTTTGTATCCAGCCCCGTTCATTATCCCCAGCTCAAAAGGCATTTTCCAGGTTAGGGATGGGACTGAGTTTCAAGATTGTGATATGGGGTAGAGGTAGGGGTAGGCAGGCCAGCACCATGGAGTCAGCCCTTGACTCTCAGTTTGGGGAAAGACATAGAAGATTGGGCACTGACTCGAGAAGGCTGGAGGGAAGAATGTGGACTCCATGAATAACTCATCACAGCTGTGGTTTCTTTGCAGGACTCTGGGGGAGGAATAGGTGGATTCAAAGAGAACAGGATGGGTATGGTCTAGAAAAGTCTTAGGGTGAGGTATGATTCTATCAGACGCAGCCAGTTAGGACTTGCTGACTAACGACAGTCTGGGCATGTCCATCTCTGCTCTCAGGCCCTTAGAGTCGAGATGTCATAGCTCCGGATTCTAAGACTCAACCACCTACCTTACCTCCGACTCCCAGTGCCAAGGGTAGGATGGTGGGGCACATGAGGAATGGGATGGGCAATAGGGGACAGTCTTGGAGGGATGTCTGCCTCCTCCCAGCTCAAAGGGAGGAGCCGGATAATGAAGAAAATCCTCCTTCCCTTGCTGTGTCCCCTCTGCAGTCCAGCTTCAAGCTACCCAGGCTCCCTGTTCTTGCTGTGCAGAAAGACTCTGCAGAAGCTGGAGAGGGTAACAACAGCTGACGTGCATGGGATCCTAGTAACCGCTGGTTTCTAGGTGACTAAACAAGGCAGAGAGAATCATGGAACCGCAGGCTGACAGAGCTGAAGAGCCCTTAAGACAACACTGACTCTGAGCCCATCTGACAGGCGAGCAGCCAGAGCCCCACAGAAGGGAAAGGAGTCATCGCACAGAGTCAGAGTTCTGGCCAGGCCCAGAACTCAGGTCTCCTGCCCCCAGGCCCAGGCTCCTTTCACCACCCCACACTTATGGCAGTGGTAGATGGGAGAGGAGAAAGGTCCAAGAGCAGAAGTCCAAGCCAGCCAGGGTTCTGGCTGAGACCCCCTCCAACGCCCAAGCCAGCAGCACTCTGCCATATTGCCCAGCCATGGCAGGACTGGAGCGCCTGCACTGCCCACCCCCTGCCGCCTCTTCTGGCCTCCCTGTTTAAGGTGCGGGGTCTCTGGTGTTCATGGGCCCCAGAGGAGGGAAGGGGGCCCACAGCTCACCTAAGAACAGCTCACAGCTCACCTAAGGCTCAGTCCTGATCTAGGCCATGGCTTCCACCACCATGGGCCACCCTCTGACCCCCCTCCGTCTGAACCCACAACCCTGGCCTCAGTGGCCCCGGTAGACAGCTTCGAGGCTCTGCCCTTATCCCTTCTCCTGGAGACACCTCGTAGCATCATCTTCTCTACACTGGCTGGGGACCACCAAAGCTTCTTCACGATAACGGAGGAACCTCAGGGCTTTTCCCTCTAGCTGTAGGAAGAATAATCACCATCTCCTGATGTGGGGATTTCTCTCCAAGAGGGTTTCAAGACCGTTTTGATTTGCACATAGATTCTTACAGCCATTTGGGGAGGCAGGTGGCATTATCCTCGCCCGTCAGCCCACTGAGGCTCAGAGAGTAAAAGTGACTCGCCAGGGCCACAGAGCCAGCAAAGACTAAAAAGGCTAGTGAGAGGAGAGTCCCCTCGCCCCACCCCCATCCCGAAGCTGTGCCCAGAAGTGGGTCGTCCTGTTGTTTACAAGCTTCTGTTATTTCGACAACCTCTTGGCTTTTGTTCTCTTCATTTCCCAGAATTTGTCTTTGGATCAGGGTGGAGGGGTGAGCCGGGAGGCCTTGCCTTCTGGCTGCTGGACCTCTGCGGCCAACAGGGCTGGGTTTGTTGGGCTCTCGTTGTATTCTGTGGGGGAACTGACCCAGCTGGGGCCAGGGAGGCACAGGGGCTAGAGGAATTAGGGTTTGGACCTGCCTCCAGCACCCACCAGAAGTCACAGGGCATGGAATGCCAGTCTCACGGAAAACAGGGAGTTGGCACCGAAGCCAAGAAGAGAGCTTGCAGCTCTCTGGGAATGGCTTTTTGGAGGGAGCCCTACCTCGCCTGGCTCAGCAGGCCTACGACATTTCCCAGACTGAGATGGCTTTTCTACACCCTCCTGGGGCCACACCCCGCCAGCCAGATGACTCTCTTCACCCAGTCGGGCCCAGGTACCTCACCTCAACAGCAAGCCTTCCAGGACTGATGGGGAGGAGAGGGTGTGGATTTGCTTCTCTAACTCCCACCACCTGTCTCTGTCTCTCCTGACCTATAATGCTAGTTTGCACTTCATTTGCTTATTGCCTTGGCACCTCTCTCCTCTTCCATCACGGCCAGAGGTGACCTGATACAATGCTGGCAATCATCTTCCTTTCCCATCATGACCAGCGCCGCTGCTGACTGTGTGATGGCTGCCAAGACACCCTTTCAAGAGTAGACCCAGGTTTTCGTGGCCTGAACCAGAGCTGGGGTGGGTGTAGAGTGGAGTGGGACGCAATGCCCTGCTGGTTGGCAGTGGTCCCATTCCTGCTTCCCCGCTGCTGGTGACGCTGGCAAGCCATCACGGCTGAGCATAGCTGATCCAGCTCAAGGTTCTCATCTTGGAGAAAGAGGAAACTGAGGCCCAGAGAAGAGAAAGGGCTAGCCCCGGACCGCACAGGCAGTTAGTGGAGAGCTGGATGTGGAATCCAGTTCTCCCACCTGAGTCCATTGTCCGATACTTGTTCTGGATTTGACTGGGGCGCAGCAGCCGGGCACAGAGGAAGACACACCGGTCATCCCAGCTGCACACTTACAGAGAACATCTCCCAGGGGCGAGGCCCTGTTGCTTTCTCCTTCCCAGCACACCAAATCCTTCTGGCAGGGCTCTCCCCTTCCTGGCTCCTCCTACTTCCCTATATTTTAGCAACAGCCTCAGCTTTCCAGTCCTCCAGATCTGAATCACCCCTCTCCACACGGCCCCTTCCTCCCTTCTGTTCAGCTCCTTCCTTCACAATGCGGTCGTTCAGGCCCACATCATCACCTGCCTGGCTGGTTGCAGCGGCCGCCCCAGGAGCCTCGAGCAGCGCCTCCCATAAGGCAACCACCTGTCCCGGCACGGTCTCTGTCCGGGCCTGGCAAATGTTTACATGTGAGCACGGGAGGCGAAGTAATGGTCACAATAAGCAGTACGGCAGGGTTCCACACACTCATCAGCTGATTAAGTGCTTTCATAAGCACTCCCTTGCACAAGGAAGTAGACCTCAGTTCTGGTCCAGTTCCAGTTCTCGGAGTGGTCTTGGACAAGTCACTCTCCCTGTTGGTATCTTTCATGATCTTGAAAATGGAGATGCCCAGGTTCCCTTCCGACTCTCACCGCTCCCTGGTGCTGGTCTTCCTCTGTTCCAGACGGACTGCCACGCTGACGTGAGCGGCACCATCTATGAGTACGGAGCCCTCACCATCAACGGGCAGGAGTACATCCCCTTCAAGCAGTACGCTGGCAAATACATCCTCTTTGTCAACGTGGCCAGCTACTGAGGCCTGACAGGCCAGTACATTGGTAAGAGCCCAGCCCCGCTCCCCTGCTGTGGGGCTGTTTCTGCCAGTTGGGCACATTTTAATCACAGGAGCTTTTTTGGTGCAAGTGGGAAGGGGTGACCATGATCATGAGATTCCAAGCCCTGTATCCCAATTCTATTGCCTTCCATATTTCCGTGAAGATGACTATATAAGCCTGAGGTCTGACTGCCTTCAGATTATGTTCTAGAAGATTCCCAGTGACCCTTCATCCCTGGGCACCCCACCTGCCCTGAAAGCAGAGGGATGGAGGAGATTGGGTCTGTGCCCGGAATGGTCTTCCAGTGGAGTAAGAGATGGTAGCTTTATCCTGCTGAGAATTTCCCATCTGCCCTCAGCCCCATCTGCCCTAGTGCTTCTGTGGGCCCCCATGTGGAAACCAGGCAGTTAGACCGAGGCCCTGGGTACGTGTGTCAGTGGCAATCCCAGGTCTTTCACCCAGGTTTCGTGATCCTGGTATCCTCACTCCCCTCTGCTGAGCCGGGGCAGAGGAGACAGCCAGGGGGAACAGGCAGGCCAGAGGCATCTGACCGCACCCACAGGAAAATGTCGTGGGGCCGAGCACAGTCCGCTAGCAGGGTTGGGGGGAAGCAAGGGCAACCTGACCCCGAATGTCTGCCCGGCAGTTTCAGGCAAATTCCTGGAAGTGGAATGATGGTGGGCTGGATGGCCCAGTGGGCACTGGGTGCTCTTGTCTAGAATACTTCTGTCCAGCCCTTGGAATAGAGCAGAGCGTGTTTGTGCAAGAGATGGGCTGGGTGCTGGCACTGAGGGAACTGGGGAGCTGGGCCAGGGCCTCCCTTCGATTCCCAAACTGCCAGGAAGTCCTCTGCCTTCTGCCCAGGGATGTGTGGCTCTTGCTCTAAGAGACTCAATCTTGAGAGTCCTGAAGGAGCCCTCAGCCTACTGGCCCAGTGGCAGCGGGCAGCTGACTGACTACGGATTTGAGAAAGGGCACTGCTCTTTCCTCCCCAGACCTCTAACCCAACCAGACTGGTCAGGAGAATGGGGCTTGTATCCCAGCCTTGTCACACTCCCTGGGCAATCTTGGGCAAGGCCCTTCCCCTGTGAGGCCTCGGTGATTTCAGCTCACAGTGGGTGAGCAGGTAAGAGTTGTGCGGATGAGGCAGGGGTCCTTGATAGTCTACCTTCATCTCTGCTCTCCCTCTCCCTGGCCCAGAACTGAATGCACTACAGGAGGAGCTTGAACCATTTGGCCTGGTCATTCTGGGCTTCCCCTGCAACCAATTCGGAAAACAGGAGCCAGGAGAGAACTCGGAAATCCTACCCAGCCTCAAGTGAGTGCTTGCTTGCTTGGTGTCCTGAGAAAGTTTCCCTGAGAAAGCACAGCCCCCCTGTGCCCCAGCCGAGGTGCCAGGCCTCTCTTGCATTGGACCCTACTCATGATGGGTACTTAGCCACCAAGAACTACACTCCTCTTCCAGGAACCCCGGTCACTGGCATGAACGGAAGAGGGGTCGGACACAGGGATGACTGCGTGTGCACGCATGATGGGATGGCGGGGGCGGGGGTGGGGGTGGCGGGGAGAGTGCACGCAGGGGACAGGGTTACTGAGAAGGTACCAAACCAGAAAAAGAAGCTTGCACACCCACACCATGCCTATGCCCATTCAGTACTCATCAGCTCCCACTGCCTGGTGAGGAATAAAATCCAGATTCCCAACGCCCCCGCCCCGTTCAGTCCCTTCTTGTCATCTCTGAGCCCTAGGCCCCATCTCCTTGGGACCCACATAAGAACATTCCTTGTAGGTATGTCCGACCGGGTGGGGGCTTCGTCCCCAATTTCCAACTCTTTGAGAAAGGCGATGTGAACGGGGAAAAAGAGCAGAAGTTCTACACGTTCCTGAAGGTGAGTGCACAGCCACCCCTGTGGGAGTCGCTCAGCCTGGCTGACCCTGGTTCTGGACAGAGCTGCAGTCACTCCTGGCTCCAGCCCATGTGGAGACAAGGCCCGTGCCACCCGCCCCCACTTCTGGGCCCCTGGGGGGATTTCTTGGCATCTATCATTCCAACCCTAAGGCTTGGCAGACCCTAGGATCTCAACAGCCCATTTTATAGATAAGGCCCAAGCAGGGCCCCAGAAGGGACAACCTGCTAGAGCCAAAGCCAGTCCTGGGATTCCATTTTCAACTCAAAAACTGGTGCTCTTTGCTCAGTGCCAGGCTTCTGCTACCTCCACCCCGGAAGGCCTGGAGAGGGAGGGTGGGAAGGGCCCCAAGCAGGGTTGACGCTCTTATCCCCGCTGCAGAACTCCTGCCCTCCCACCTCAGAGCTCCTGGGCTCACCTGACCGCCTCTTCTGGGAGCCCATGAAGGTCCATGACATCCGCTGGAACTTTGAGAAGTTCCTGGTGGGGCCAGATGGTGTACCCATCATGCGCTGGTACCACCGGACCACGGTCAACGCCGTCAAGATGGACATCCTGGCCTACATGAGGCGGCAGGCGGCTCTGGCGGTCCAGGGGAAGTAAATCAGACCTGCCCGACCCCGTGTCCACCGTGCAGGGGCTGGGGAGGGACTCCGTTCGGGAAGGAATCCATTTCTCCAACCACACCACACTCCCACCATAGACCCCTTGCTATTACACCAAGGCCCCAACCTGACACGAGCATGTGCGTACGATTGCGTCTGTACCGCTATGCACGTGGGTGTCTGCACACATGCCTACAGGTGTGTGTGACCACGTGTATGCATGAGTGAACAGCCACCTGTGTCTACCTGCATGAAAACGGGGAATGCGTACCATATGCGTACGCACAGCTGTGCGCTACAGAGTGCGAGAAAATACCTCCCCTTTCTCTCCAATTCTGACCCCCATAACCATTCACTTTCAGCTGAGCCCACGGTAAAACCAGCTCTAGATCCAACTGTTCTGTTCTGTTCTGACCTAGACCTCAGCTTTGGGGCCAGCATCTCCCATTGCCTCCAAGTATCACCACTGAAGGGCCCAGAAGTTTCTGGGTCTACCACACTGCCCAGTCTCCCTACTCTCCACCATGTAGCCCCTCTCCTTCCTGAAGGGCCCTCCCAAGCCCCCTACCCCACCCCATAGTGCTCCCTGAGAGCAGCCAAGGCAGATGTGAGAGCAAGGGCCACGTCCCCCGTGTCAGGAATGGCATCTCCATGAAGGAGGGGCCCGAAGCCCTTATGGGCGGACCTCCCCCGAGCCTGTCTGAAGGGCCAGCCCTTAGTGCATTCAGGCTGAGGCCCCTGGGCAGGGATGCCACCCCTGCTTTTCTGGAGGATGTGCCCTCTCCCCTCACCCTTGTCCCTGGCATTAGACCCCAACCCCCACCCCCGGTCTGCCCAGTAAAGGCCTTTCTGCAACAGCTGAGCCTACTGTGGTGCTTCCTCCATGGGGCCACCCTCGCTGGGTTGGGTGGTGGGGCAGGGCGGGGGGGGGAGTTGGGGGAAGAAGAAAGAGATGGAGGGAGTGCTTCGGGCCCCTGCTGTTTGGTTTCTACCTAGACCCACTCTGCTTCTCTAACTTGGCATTTGGACTTTACAAAACCAGTTCCCATCCACACTCACTCCCTCCCACAATTCTCCAGGCAGCTGGGGCTGAGACGAGGTCGTCCATGTGACAGGTGAGGAAACAGCCTCACCAAAGGGCCGGCCTTGCCCACTGCCCCCTGACCTGTGAGGGGCAGGACTGGAATTTAAACCCAGGTCACCTGACTCTCAGCCCAGACTCCTTCCACTGCCCCTGGGTGCCTCACCTTCAGAGAGGCTCAGAGCAGAGCCCCGGGGCTATCTGCCAAGAGCCCTGGTGATGCTCTCAGGGGACTAGGGGAACGGGCCCAGAAAGCAGCACTCTCATTGACGGGGAGGGGGACGCTAGCCAGGGCATAAAAGAACACAAATCATAGAACACTGATCTTCAGCTTGGATTTATGTCCAAGATTCGTGCAAACAGCTGCCCAGGGACAGCCAGCCACCCTGATCTGGGCCTCTGGCACCCCAAGCCTCCAGCTTCACGGTGGGCCGCTCAGCACATGTGGCGGCGGGGCCTTCATCCCAGGCTGCCATGGCGCTGGCAAGGCTGCCGTGGGTGGAAGTGGCCCTGCAACAGGACGCCTGTCATTCTCTCCTGCTTCTGGGAGCAAACCCGCTCTTCCCGCAGCTCCTCAGAGGGGAAGGCTTGGGCATGGGGCGGGTCCAGCTACTACAGAGCTTGAAGCAAAAATTACACACATGAATGGGACATGTTCCACAGAGGGGCTGGAACCACTTCCAGGGAAGTTTCAAAAGGAAGAGGTCTCCACTGCACCCCTCTCTTGAGACTGAGGTTCCCCAATGATTCCACAAAGCATGGCAGGTCAAAGTCGGATGAGGCCTCTCGCCACCTGGTTGCAAGGTAGTGAGTTTCTCCTGGTCACCCCGAAGGAGAGGCCAAATGGAAGCCTTCCGGGTGGAGCCTCTCCGGTCTGGAAACAGTTTACTTCGGGCTGGGGCACAAGCCAGTGGCCCATCAGCCTCCCATCCAGCCAAGGCTCTGGCCACACAGAGAACACGGCCTCTAGTTTTTCAGCAGTCTGAGATCAGGTGGCTCTGTAAAATGAAGGTGGAGCCAAGTGACATAATCTGGTCTCACTGAGGCCCCTCACGGTCATTTTTCGTAGACTCTAAATAAAGAAAAACATTGAAGACTTTAAAAATGATGGGGTACAGGAGGTTTCAAAGGCCTACGGAAACCAGCAAGTAACAATGGAAATCACAGAGTTGAGTGCTGCTGAGCGCCAGGCCCTGGGCTAGGACCTTAGGTACATCTGTCATTCAATCCTTGCCCTGCCCTCTGAAGCAGGCAGATTATTTTCCTTTTATGGAGGAGGGAGTAAGGGCACAGAGAGATTTTTAAGAATTTGCCTAAAGTTCCAGATTTAGGAAGTGTTTGAGCTTAGCCCGTCTGGCTCCAGATCCCAGAGGTGGAGCAGTTCTCGGGGTGGGGACAGCCCTGCCCATTCGCCCCTCATCCCAGCAGCATCCCAGGGGCTCCACACAACCTCTAGGGCTCTGCCAGGAACCATGAGAAAACAGCTGACCAGCCTGATGCCTCCTCCCAACCGCAGTGCCTCCATGTCATCCTGCAGCCCCTGCTTGCATACCTTTTGTGAGGGGCCCTCTCCCTCCCGGCAGAGCCGGCTCTGGCTCGGCAAAGCCATAACCCATGGAAAACACCTGTTTGTGCTGAGAAGGACTCGGCTCCCCTGCTCCCTGCCAGGAGGCAAGGGAGTGCCTTCGGCCCCGCAGAGCCCCACGGAAAGCAAAGGCAGTCACTGGGGCCCCGGAGTCCTCCTGTGACCTGTGAACCAACCTCTGGTCCTCAGCTGCTGCTGGTCGGCACCATGACCGGATGGAGCTTTTCAAAGTGCAGATCTGATCTCTCACGCCACTCTGCTTTAAACATGTCCAAGGGGGGCACATCATCGCTAGGATAAAGACTAGCCCCCCTGTCCATCATCTGCAGGTTCCTGTTCAGCCTGGACTCACCCACCTTCCTGACCTTGCCTCGCCCAGCTCTCCTTCCCCACCTTGTCCTCGGCTTCTCCAGTCTTCTCTGGCCTTCTCTCCATCCTCCAGTTGGCTTCCCTTCTCCCCTCCCTCCCACCAGGGCCTTTGTATTTGTCATTTCTCTGCAAGAACATCCTCCATTGTTCCCCCTTTGCCTGGTTAATGCCATGCGCTCTGAGGGTCCCGACTCCAACGTCGCTGCCCCCGGGCCCAGGTCAGGCCACCCTGCTAACTGCTCTCATAGAAACCTGCTCTCCTTCCTTCAGGGCACCTAAGTGCAATCAAAGGCCCGTCTGTGTGACTTTGTGTGTGCATTTTATTCATTTCTTCCTCCCTCACTAGGCAGTAAGCTCCGCAAGGGCAGGAACCATTATCTGTTTGTACTCACGTGGCTTCCCTGGCACCCAGCAGAGCACCTGGCATTTGGACACCACACTCAGATAAATGAATGAATGACTTCAACCCCCTCCCTCCGCAGTCACCTCCCCATCCTCTCAACACTGTTGTGGAACGTGAGGTCTCTCTTCCACCAAGAGCAGAAGGTGGTGACATCATCCCCAGACTGGGCCGTTCCTGGCAGGTAAGAGTATCTCCCCAAGGAGAACGCAAGACGCAGGACTAGACCGCGCTCACCTGGTTCCACAGGCCTGGCTGTGGGCGAGTCCATCACTTGGGAGCTCTGATTGCGCATGCCTCCACAGGGCGGCCGCCAGGTGTATTCTGGCTGCAACGAAAGTGGTGCTTAGTAGTCAATAACCACACTCAAAAGTGACAGTAGCGGCCACCACGCCAGCACAGCACTGAACACGTGCTAATCCAGTACGACTGAATCCTGACGAAAACCCAGGGGGCCATCCCCATTTTACAGGTAAGGACACTGAGGCTCAGAGGGGTTAAGAAACTCGCTGAAGGTCATCTAGCCAAGAAGGCAGCCAAGCTTTGGTTCTAGGTCTCTATAACCCCAGAGCCCTTCTCCTAAGTCCCGCACTCCACTCCAGCGTAGACTGCCAAGCGGATGTGTGTAAGGACCGGGCAGAGCAGAAGAAGCTGGAAGAGAGGCCAGGCAGGAGGCACTGCCACTGTCCGGGTGGGAGCAGGGATACCAAAGCAGATGGAGCGGACGGGACCGGGGGCAGGAGCTCTTTGGAGAAAGAATGATAAGCAAATAAAAGGAAAGAAAGAAGGGAGGGGAGGGGACAGGAATGCAAGGGAAACTGGGAAAGGGGAAAAGAGAAGGAAAGCAAAGGGGGGAATGCATGGTGAGGGTCTGGTACCTGGTTACAAGTGCAAGTTCTAAGAGAAAGTCAAACCCAAACTCTGATCCCCGTGGCCTGCTTGGCTGGAGGGAGCCGTCCTTCCTGCCCTCCCTCTGAGCCTTTCCTGTCCTACACCAGAGACCCTGAGCAGCTTTGGGCTGGACGGTCCTGCCTGGCTCTGGATATCTGCCTGCACACCACAGTGCTGTTCAGCCAAGAGCCAAGGATGCAGTCTCAGACCCCCTCACTTGACCTCGCCCTCTGCAAAGTGCGTGGGCTGGCCTCTCTGTGTGTTCTGAAGGGGGGACACAGACTCACCAGATGGAAGAGGCGTGAGTTTGGGAGTGGGGGTGGGTGCTCCACGGCCATGGGGGGCGGAGGGTAGCGGATCTGGGACCAGTCCTCAAAGCCGTGGTGTGGTACCATGGCTGGCATGGGCGTGTAGGCATAGGGGTAGGCCCCGCACAGATGCTCTGGGTGGGGCTCCAGGTGGTAGCGCTCCGCCGAGGCCTGCAAGAAATGTTGACATCGGGCTCTAGCCTGTGACAGGCCATCCCCAGTGACACCCGTCTCCTCTCCCTTTCTCTACTTGGTATCTTAGTTCTCTGAAGGCTGGCAGATGGGCACAGGTGACCGGTACAGGGGCACAGGTGGCCGGTACATGGGCACAGGTGGCCAGTACAGGGGCACAGG